GTACCGGGGCAGTTCGGGCCCATCGAGGCCGCCCGTCCGCGCCCGGAGCCCGCAGCGATGGCGGCAATGGCGGCCCCGTTGCCCCGGAGACGGCGCCGGAAGCGGCGCGCGCGCGGCCCCGCGCGTTTCCGTGTCCCCCGCCCGGCCCGGCCCCGCCGCCGCCACCGACAAACAAACACCGCCACCGATAAACACCGGCACCGGCACCGCCAGCAGCGCCACAGCGCCCGAACCGGGCCCGCCGCAGCGCCCGCAGCATGTCCCGGGTGCCCGTGGGGAAGGTGCTGCTGCGCAACGTCATCCGCCACACCGGAGCGCACAACAAGGTGAGGCCCGGGCCGCCCGCGCCCAGCGGGGCCTGCGGGGCCGAGCGGGGACAGCCCGGGGAGCGGGGACATCGTGAGGGAGCGGGGACATCGTGAGGGAGCGGGGACATCGTGAGGGTGCGGGGACATCGTGAGGGAGCGGGGACATCGTGAGGGAGCGGGGACATCGTGAGGGAGCGGGGACATCGTGAGGGTGCGGGGACAGCCCGGGGAGCGGGGACAGCCCGGGGAGCGGGGACATGGTGAGGCTGCGAGGACATCGTGAGGGAGCGGAGACATCGTGAGGGAGCGGGGACATCGTGAGAGTGCGGGGACATCGTGAGGTGCGGGGACATCCCGGGGAGCGGGGACATCGTGAGGGTGCTCGGTGGTGGCACAAAGTAATGGGCGAACATCCCGATGTGCGGGGACATCCCGGTGTTCCTGGGACATCCCGGTGGTCCTGGGATATCCCGATCTGTGGGGACATCCTGGGGCTCTGGGGACATCCCGGTGGTCCTGGGATATTCCGATCTGTGGGGACATTCCGGTGTTCCTGAGACATCCCAGGCTTTGGGGACATCCCGGTGGTTCCACCCGGCGATGGGGGAACATCCCGGAGCTGCKGGACAGGATTCGTGCCCCGCTGCTGATCCGGGAGGGGAGAGCTCAGAATAAAAGGAGTTTGGTGAATCGGCCACATCAACATCCTCAATCTCACTTTCGGTTTAACCCTGTTTGTTTGTGTTGAGTTCAGTTTAATGCCGTTTTTCTTGAGTTCTCACACTGGTGAGGAAATGTGTCTATATTTACTTCAAAAGTAAAATCTTTAATAGTTTTACTTTCCTTGTTTTACTGTCTATATGCTTTTAATTGCATCAAAGATTTTTGCACAGGCAGGATTTTAGGGCAAGATTAAGCAACTCCATTAAGTTTAGCAAACTACTTCATTAATCYCTGACACAATTCAGCAGAAACTTCATCAGGAAGTTCATTTGGATACAGCTATATTATTGTGTAAATAATTGTCTGTTTGGGGATGGTAGGAAAGGCAGCTGTGGGTTTTTGTAGCAGGAGTGTGTGTGCTGCATGACTCTGAATTTTCCCTGATGTTGAAGTCGTTTCCCTTCTGTGACTTTCAGCTTCAGGAAGAGACAGAAATGTGGAAAATAAGGGAATGGGAGAAGCAGACGGAAGAGACTTACTGGAAAAGGCAGAGCAGAATGCTGTCAGACACCTCCAGGTGAGAGACACCACAGAAATATTTATTTTCTCCATAATGAGTCCCTGGAAAGAAGTCAGGACTCTGCTTAAGCCTGATCATTATGCGTTCATTGAGATGTAAAACTTTGAAGGTCCCACATTAATGAGCTGGGGTTCTCTGGAGCTCTGGGGTGGGTGGTTTCCCATCTGAAGGATGCTGTTCTCTCTCTGCAGCAGTCGGATGCGCAGCGATGGCTTCGAYGAGGAGGGACACAGGACAGACTGGAAAACCAGGAACCCACAGTTCCTTGACCTGGTGGAAGAYGATCTCCTCAGGGCCAGATCCTGGAATAAAAAGCTGTATGAATGTGAAGCCAACATGCCAGACAGGTCTGTGGGGGAATCCRTGTTCTGGGGTTGTAATTAAAACATCTTTTTGGAGCCCTGTACCAAAAAATTACACATTTCTGTTCAGTGGCATTTCTAAGCAGCAAAAAGTCAGCCCTTACTGTTTACTACTTTGYCCAAGGAGCTTAAAAAATCTCAAGAAACACAAATCTAGGGTTGTTTTAAAGCAATCTGAGTTACAGTCTGAGAATATAAAGTGGATTTAAATAGCACCARCCAAATCAGTCCTATTTCCTTCCTCCCTGTCTCAACTCAGGTTCATTCTGTGGCTCTGGCTTTTCAGAGCTGTATTCTTATCCTCAAACAYCTCTGTTTTTAACAGATGGTTCTGCTTTCTTACAGGTGGGGGCACAGTGGATATAAAGAGTTGTACCCTGAAGAATTTGACACAGACAGGTAAGGCAGACAGATTTACTGATGGATCTAGTATCTGCCTTCTGGCAMGTTCTGCAGGGAATTTTACAAACTGAGTTTTAAATTTTGAATRTGGATCAGCCTTGAATGCAAAGCCTTACTGTTAAAAAAATCAAATCCATAAATGTGGTGTGAATCTTACAAGAATCTTTTATGTTAATTAAGATATTCAGGTTTAGCTGGAGTTACCAAAATCTCTGAATTTGGGATGTAAATAAATTCTTGCAGTGTCCTGGAGAGTGGAAAAATAAGGTTTTAAGGCATAATTAATTATTTTTAACCTACATCCAGCAGAATCATCAATATTTGTCAGAATTACAGATTTGATAGAAATTAGTTTCATCGCTCAGTGGCTTTCATTTCACCTCRTCCTGTTCCTTTTCCAGTGACCAACAAGAAGGAGATGAGCAAAATGCCGTGAATGGGAAGAAGAGATCCCACCTGGGGAAGCAAACAGCCCATGAGTCCCACAAAAGGAAAAAAACCAAGAAATCGCACAAGAAGAAGCAAAAAAAGCGCTCACACAAAAAACGGAAGAAAAAGAAAAAGGAGCAGGAGAAAACTTCCACAGATTCCTCCCGGGGGGAGAGCGAGGGCTCGGGAGAGGAGACTCCAAGCACCCGGAAAGGAAAACACAAGCGCAAGAAAAAAACCAGGAAAGTGCCTGCCAAGGAACCTACCTCTTCTTCTGGGCAGGAGAGTGACTTTTCCCATGCAAGCAGCTCCAGCACCAGCAGCTCTGAGGACACTGAATCCGAGGGGAAAAAGGAGAAACGGCCCCCGAGGAAGAGAAAGAAGCGTCCCAACTCCGTGCCGGAGAGGCAGAGTGAAGTGCCGGAGAAGAGGAGCAAGAGGAAGAACTGGAAGGTGGCRGGGGATGAGAAATCTGAGGACAGCTCTGATGAGGACTGAGGGGTCTGGGCTGCAGCTCAGCCCAGGATKGGGAGGACAGAGGCAGGTCCTTGTCACTCAGCACTGCCCCACTGCTCCAGCACTGTGCTTTACACACACCCTGCCAGCCTGGCTGCCCCTGGGCTCCCGGTCAGCAGGGCAGGACAGCACTGCCCTGTCCCACAGCRGGGCTTGTCCTGCCACCCTCAGACTCTTTGGCTGTGATCAGGATGGTTTTGTCTTAAATTATGTTTGAACAGATTGCTCTTTTGGCTCTCCAGAACAATGGCCRGTAGGAGAGAGGACAGGCTGATAAATCAATCTGAAAACGGAGGAAATTTCACTGTAACCCCACAGGAGCTTTGTCTTCCCATCCTCCACCAAAAGCAGAGCTGTGGGGGCACACACAGGGTCAGCTGAGGGAWTATTCTCATTCCAGCTGAAGGTGCAGTGACTTTTTCAATGCTGCAAAAAGACAGCAGTGCATTTGCTTGGTTTAAACTCCTCTCCAGAGCCTGCTGTGGGCTGGCCACCGTGTCTACCTTCCTTCATTCTCTATGGGGATGCTGAAACCGTTTGTGCTGACAGAGAGGCCTTGGTGGGTGTTGTGTCCTGTCTCTGCTCTGCCCAGTGTGTTACTGGAGAAACTGGTACCAGGCTGTTCCCCCTGCAGCGAACAGCCAAGCCTTTTAATAAAATAAATCAATCCAGATGGGTTTGATGCTTCTGTCATTGTTTTGGAGCGAAGCCCGGGGACAGAGCACAGGGCTGGGAGTTTGGGTGGTGKCTGTGTTCTGCCTGTGCTGTTTGTTTCTGCTTGATCACACTTGGAGGAGTGAAATCAGGGCACTGGGGAAATGTGTGGAGTGATTGTTGTGTGCTGGACAAGCACAAAACAGCGTCAGCCGCCCTAAACCCTCACTCCAAACCCTGACTGCTGTTCCTTTTTTTCACTTTAAATGGAAAGAAAACCAGGGGATGTTCATGGAAGTGTTTATTGTGCATACAAAGGTGTTTCATCAGTGAACACACAGGTAAGGAACACTTTGATCTGCTGTGGGGGTCCGGTGGGACTTAAGACAGAATTACAGAATCACAGAAGGGTTTGGCTGGAAGGTAATTTAGAGATAATCCAGTTCCAACCATGCCACGGGCACACCTTCCCTATCGCAGGCTGCTCCAACCTGSCYTTGGGCACTTCTGGGGATCGGACAGCCCGTGCCAGGGCCTGCCCCCGCTCCCGGGGAGGGAGCCGGTCCCAAACCCCGCAGTTTGCATTCGCCCTGCGCACCGCAGCCGCCGCTGTGCCGGGCCGGGCCGCTCCGCGCGGTTCCTCCCGGTTCCTCCCGCTTCCTCCCGGTTCCGTTCCGTTCCGTTCCGTTCCGAGCGGAAGCGGAAGCTCGGGCGGTGTTTCCGTGTCCGGGCGCGGTGCCCTTGGAGCGGACATGGCGCTGGCGCTGCTGCGGGCGCGGCCCCGCGGGGCCGCCATCGGTGAGTGCGGCGGGAGCGCGGGGCGGGCGCGGAGCGGGGTCTGCGTGGGTGACAGCGGGACCCCCGGTGGCAGCGGGACCCCGGTGACAGTGGGATCCCGGTGACAGTGGGATCCCGGTGACAGTGGGATCCCGGTGACAGCGGGACCCCGGTGACAGTGGGATCCTGGTGACAGTGGGACCCCGGTGGCAGTGGGATCCCGGTGACAGTGGGACCCCGGTGGCAGTGGGATCCCGGTGACAGTGGGACCCTCGGGGGCAGCGGGACCCCGGTGACAGCGGGACCCCGGTGACAGTGGGATCC